TATATATATATATATATATATATATACTGTATATATAGTGCCCTCCATATTGGGACTGTAAAGACACAATTGCTCTGTTAGCTGTGGAGTTAAGACATCTGTAAATATGAATAAAAGGTAAACATGAGACAAAACTACAGAATGTCACATTTTATTATTGGGTGATTCAACACATAGATGTTTTACCAGCTAAGAAGATCAGCACTTCTAGAGTTTCATCCCCTATCTGGTGTGAGCATAAGTATTGGAACAGTTGGCTCACAGGTCTTTCTAAGTGATCAGCTATGTCCTGTTGCATTAATTGTTCAAATATTGAAGCAGGGAATGTGTCGTATCAGTTATATCCATTTTTCTGCATTCTGAGTCTTGCATTCAATGACAACACACACAAACCAGGGTGAAGACGAGGGAGCTGACTTTGAGAGAAAAGCAAGCAATTTGGATGCTAAAAGAAAAAAGGGAAGTCAATTACAGTTATAGCAAAAACAAAGGCCATGGAGAAATCAAGAGTTTGGAATGTCCTGAGAAAGAAAGAAACCACCGGCAATGTGAGCAACCAACAATGAACTGATCGGCTCAGAAAAACAAACAGCAGTTTTGAAAAGCTTTGAAAATGAACCCTAAAATACGTGTCTGTAAAATCACCAACAACCTCCAGAAAGCTGGGGTGATGCTCTGACAATCTACTGTCCGCAGGAGACTTTGACGCAGAATTACAGCAAGACAGCAGGATGCTGACCAGCACCAAAATAGAAAAGCAAGATTAGAGTTTGCTAAAAAGCACAAAGGTGAGCAAGTTGAGTTTTGGACAGAGTTTGGAGTTTTATGGACAGATGAGACAAAGATGAACCTTTATCTAAGTGATGGGAAAGCAAAAATGTGGAGAAAAAAGAACTGCAAATGATCCCAAGCATACAACCTCATCTGTAAAGCATGGTGGAGGTAATGTCATGGCATGGGCATGCATAACTGTCTCTGGAACAGGCTCTCTCAGCTTTTTTTGATGACTTAATGTATGATGACAGTAGCAGAATGAATGCAGAAGTGTACAGAAACATTTTGGCAACCAATGTTCAAGAAAATGTCACCGGACTCATCAGAAAGCACTCAGAATTGCATCAGGACAATGACCAAAAACACCCTACCAGTTCAGTCAAGGATGAAAATGAACCCTAAAATACGTGTCTGTTAAATCACCAACAAGCTCCAGAAAGCTGAGGTGATGCTCTGACAATCTATGGTCCAGAGGAGACTTTGACACAGAACTACAGAGGCTACACATCAAGATGCAAACCTCTGATCAGCACCAAAAATAGAAAGGCAAGATTAGAGTTTGCAAAAGCCAGTAGAGTTTTATGGACAGATGAGACAAAGATGAACCTTTATCTAAGTGATGGGAAAGCAAAAATGTGGAGAAAAAAGAACTGCAAATGATCCCAAGCATACAACCTCATCTGTAAAGCATGGTGGAGGTAATGTCATGGCATGGGCATGCATAACTGTCTCTGGAACAGGCTCTCTCAGCTTTTTTTGATGACTTAATGTATGATGACAGTAGCAGAATGAATGCAGAAGTGTACAGAAACATTTTGGCAACCAATGTTCAAGAAAATGTCACCGGACTCATCAGAAAGCACTCAGAATTGCATCAGGACAATGACCAAAAACACCCTACCAGTTCAGTCAAGGAGTTTATCGGCAAAGAAATGAAAAGTCTTAGACTGCCCAAATCAATCTCCAAATTTTAATCCGATTGAACATGTATTTCACCAGCTGCAGAGGAGACTAAATGCAGAAACTCCCCAAAACAAGCAACAGTTGGAATTGGTTGCATTAAAGGGATAGTTCACCCAAAAATGAAAATTTGATGTTTATCTGCTTACCCCCAGGGCATAGAATTTTGTCATTACTGTACCAATACTTTTCCATAATACTTCCATATATTTCGCTTTCACGATATGCTTTGTGCCCAATTTATTCAGAATCTTATTGAAGTTTAAGGTCAGTGCAAAACATCTAATAACTTTGGCCTTAACTACCATTTGCATTTACTTGTACTTTGTGCCCAGAACATTATTTTTTAAACTATTATGAAAATGTTTTCGATATTAAAACAGGTTAACATGAGTAATGCATCTGCTATATGCTGGCTTTGCACAGCTATCCTAACAAATGTAAAACTAGGGTGTGTTAGTAAACTAAATATATAGTTCAACAGTGTCTGTCCACTTTTTTGGCAACCTTGGTTCGGGAAGTATTTTTCCCATTCATTTTTTCCAATAGGGACATCGAAAAATTCTTTGTGAAAGAGCAACAAGCCATGAACCAAAATAATCAGCTATGAGGTGAATCACAACATTACAAACTTTGATTTAAAGCAAAGAAAAAAAAACTTGAAAATCTGAACAATGTGTGTAAGACTGTGTGTTTAACAGCTTCAGTGCGGGAAAGAACTACAAGCACTGCAAATGACAATCAAAATGAAAATATGGATACATATAAATCTTATTTTTGTTATGAATATAAAAACAATATACACTGAACAAAATTATAAACGCAACACTTTTGTTTTTGCCCCCATTTTTCATGAGCTGAACTCAAAGATCTAAGACTTTTTCTATGTACACAAAAGGCCTATTTCTCTCAAATATTGTTCACAAATCTGTCTAAATCTGTGTTAGTGAGCACTTCTCCTTTGCCGAGATAATCCATCCACCTCACAGGTGTGGCATATCAAGATGCTGATTAGACAGCATGATTATTGCACAGGTGTGCCTTAGGTTGGCCACAATAAAAGGCCACTCTAAAATGTGCCGTTTTACTGTATTGGGGGGTCCGGGGGGGTCTGAAAACCAGTCAGTATCTGGTGTGACCATCATTTGCCTCACGCATTGCAACACATCTCCTTCGCATAGAGTTGATCAGGTTGTTGATTGTGGCCTGTGGAATGTTGGTCCACTCCTCTTCAATGGCTGTGCGAAGTTGCTGGATATTGGCAGGAACTGGAACACGCTGTCGTATATGCCGATCCAGAACATGCTCAATATGCTCAATGGGTGACATGTCTGGTGAGTATGCTGGCCATGCAAGAACTGGGATGTTTTCGAATTGTGTAAATTGTGTACAGATCCTTGCAACATGGGGCCGTGCATTATCATGCTGCAACATGAGGTGATGGTCGTGGATGAATGGCACAACAATGGGCCTCAGGATCTCGTCACGGTTTCTCTGTGCATTCAAAATGCCATCAATAAAATGCACCTGTGTTCGTTGTCCATAACATACGCCTGCCCATACCATAACCCCACCGCCACCATGGGATCCACAACCCACAACGTTGACATCAGCAAACCGCTCACCCACACGACGCCATACACGCTTTCTGCCATGTACAGTGAACAGTGAAAACCGGGATTCATCCGTGAAGAGAACACCTCTCCAAAGTGGAGACCCCGATGAGGACGACGAGCATGCAGATGAGCTTCCCTGAGACGGTTTCTGACAGTTTGTGCAGAAATTCTTTGGTTATGCAAACCGATTGTTGCAGCAGCTGTCTGGGTGGCTGGTCTCAGACGATCTTGGAGGTGAAGATGCTGGATGTGGAGGTCCTGGGCTGGTGTGGTTACACGTGGTCTGCGGTTGTGAGGCCGGTTGGATGTACTGCCAAATTCTCTAAAATGCCTTTGGAGACGGCTTATGGTAGAGAAATGAACATTCATTTCACTTGGCAACAGCTCTGGTGGACATTCCTGCAGTCAGCATGCAAATTGCACGCTCCCTCAAAACTTGCGACTCCTGTGGCATTGTGCTGTGTGATAAAACTGCACATTTTAGAGTGACCTTTTATTGTGGCCAGCCTAAGGCACACCTGTGCAATAATCATGCTGTCTAATCAGCATCTTGATATGCCACACCTGTGAGGTGGATGGATTATCTCGGCAAAGGAGAAGTGCTCACTAACACAGATTTAGACAGATTTGTGAACAATATTTGAGAGAAATAGGCCTTTTGTGTACATAGAAAAAGTCTTAGATCTTTGAGTTCAGCTCATGAAAAATGGGGGCAAAAACAAAAGTGTTGCGTTTATAATTTTGTTTATAAAAACCTGTTTAGGGATCTTAAAGCGCACATATGAACATAGTTTGAGCATCTCCTCCATCTCCTCTGGAGTGGAGGGTATCAGTGGGATCCCGTCACTGTTCTGAGTTTTCTCCAGTTCCCTCAAACGCTGAACAAACTTACTTTCAGTGGGATACTGAAGACCTGTGAAAAAACGAGAAATGTTTGAGATTAATTTAGGGAATAAAATACTTGTGTATTCTTTCCTGGAAGATGTTTCGTGCTGATAAAGTATTTCTCATTTACAGATGATGATGTTTATTTAATTAGCTTTAACAGTAAAACATTAAAGGCCTTTAAATTTGGACAATATTACTTACTACCAGGGATATTATATTTAAGTAAAGTTAAAACTTGAAATAAAACAAACTTCAACTTGGATAAAATAAGATTTTTTAAAAATTGCTAAAGTTGCCAAGACCACATTTCTCATTTTCATTTAGTTTAACTCAATCAATCAATCAATCAATCAATCAATCAACCAACCAGCCAACCAACCAACCAACCAAACAATGAAAATGTATTTCTACAGCACATTTACCAACAACATAAGTTGACCAAAGTGCTTTACATCGATTTAAAGCATTCAACTGTAGTATCTACTAATATGTAGAGGGAGGCTATTCCAGAGGCATGGCGTAGTCACTGAAAAGGCATGATCTCCTTTAGTTTTCAACCGTGATTTTGGGACATTTAAGAGGCAACTCTGAGATGATCTTAAAGGTCTGGCAGTGTGATGATGCTGATAGGCTTAAGATATATTCTGGAGCAAGTTCATGTAAACCTTTAAAAACCATTAACAAAACCTTATATTGCACTCTAAAATCAACAGGAAGCCAGTGCAGAGAAGCCAGTTACTAAACAAAATTACTAAAACTTTAAATAACATTAAAATGAATATATATATATATATATATATATATATATATAATACTAATACTAAAATATAAAAAAATTCATATTATATTAATTCTAAATATTAAAACTATAATAGTACCTCAATTATACTAAAATAACACTGCTTACTACTTTTATAATGGTTAAAATGTTTTAGTTTTCATTTATATTATTATTTATTATTATTTTATAGATTTAACTTTTAGTGTGTAATTCTAAAATTGAAATTACATAATTTAATTGTATTAGCTAACGTGCACATTTAATGCGTTAAAAATTATATTTTAACATTTCATTTCAATGAAAGCATGATTTAGGGATATATAAATGGCATAGTTTTGTAATGTCATGCAATATCATTTTTTTCTAAGATGTTTCATGCATTTTGAGAGAAAAATTCTGAATTTGTCTTTGTCTCTCATGATCTATTCTGTGACTTTTCCCCTTAAAGTGCCCAATCAATCAATCAATCAATCAATCAATCAATCAATCAATCAATCAATCAATCAATCAACCAACCAGCCAACCAACCAACCAACCAAACAATGAAAATGTATTTCTACAGCACATTTACCAACAACATAAGTTGACCAAAGTGCTTTACATCGATTTAAAGCATTCAACTGTAGTATCTACTAATATGTAGAGGAAGGCTATTCCAGAGGCATGGCGTAGTCACTGAAAAGGCATGATCTCCTTTAGTTTTCAACCGTGATTTTGGGACATTTAAGAGGCAACTCTGAGATGATCTTAAAGGTCTGGCAGTGTGATGATGCTGATAGGCTTAAGATATATTCTGGAGCAAGTTCATGTAAACCTTTAAAAACCATTAACAAAACCTTATATTGCACTCTAAAATCAACAGGAAGCCAGTGCAGAGAAGCCAGTTACTAAACAAAATTACTAAAACTTTAAATAACATTAAAATGAATATATATATATATATATATATATATATAATACT